CTGTGAACAGTCACAGCCTCGGAAGAACAGTCTATATCCTCGTTATATTTAACGCCCCACACGTGTGTCGTATGTGGTACAAGTCCGAGTTTATCATGGATTCTCCGAGCCCGTAGGCTCGGCCTTAAATATTCTTTTTGAACCCATATAAACGGGTTCGGGGCCTGTCTTCCCGGACGAAAATTTGCTCTTCGACAAAGCCTCATCCAGGTTCCTCTCTGCCGAGGACAGTAATGAACGGTGTATATTTTTACCCCTATACTTACTTTCTTACTACTTTATAGTAAATGGAAGAGTCCACAATAGACTCATCAGAGGGAAGACACCACAACATGCATGTATCGCATTTTCAGCATCTATAAATAAATCCGAAACAGTTCCAGACATTACCAGTTGTATCAATAACAGTGTTAGTTCTGGTTGAGTTGGTTTCTCTATTAGGCTACCGCCAGCCTATCCATCACCAAGATCTTACAATATAGAACATTGTTTGTGAATGAAATATTCATACTGGGGAAGACTTATATCAGCAACATTTTCTTTTTCATAATCTTTCTCTCTGTGATATTTATTCATTCTCCCATTTGAACAAAAAAAAGAGTAACTTTCATTTGTTTCTCTAATTATCTATCAGTGTTAAATTCGCCAAGCCTTTCTCATTATGTCTCCAAAGAATTTCAGCCCTAGGATTCTTATCAACAGAACAATGTAAAAAAAAGACCAGGTATATATAGGAAGAGTAACTTAGGAAAAGCAGTTTTTGTCGTTGTCTTTGTAATACGAAATAAAGTGTTTTTCGGGGTTGTCTATTGAAACAAAAATCCTGTTCAAATCCTGATGATTACTGAGCCACTGTACACAACTGGAGGCACGAATATTCCTCTTAATCGTTAACTTTTAAAGTTTTTGAAATAGGCAGAATGGAAATTAAAAGTTTGAGACTATTGGCTACATTTACATTGAATTAATGGTAATATACGCTGGATAATACAGGAAATATTAATCATTCTTTGATTGAACTGTTAGTGTAAAAGTTAGTTAAAAATTATAAATTATATCGAGAAATGCATAAAAAACATATTTACAAAATATAAGTGTTTACTTACTTTCCTGACATGGTAGCAACACTGTAGAAAAGACAAAAAAAGTCATGGAGAAAAAATAGAATAGATAGCTAGATATTTGTTGTTTTGAAGAAATACTTTATTTTTATACTTCCCAATAAAATCACATGTATAAAAATAAGTACAAGTGCCCATACAAAGTTTTTAAACATTCACTGGATTTTTCACAATGATATTTCCCCTGAACAAGTCCCGAGAGTCACTCGTGGTAGACGGTTACAGAGTAAGTGGTAAAGTTATACGGAAATATGGGTATGCTAATCCTAGACTTGAACAAGTTGGGAGTATAGTGAACGAGGAAGCATCCTCTTGGAAAATCTTTTCCGCTAAGCAGTGATTCATGGGAAGAAGTTGATCGAGTGGAACTTACATCTGACCAATGGAATAAGAACAGAATGAAAGTGATTCAAAATAATCTGTGCAACATGGTGGGTCTTAACCGTGAAGGTTAGAATTGGAAGAACTAAGGAATATAGTTCATCTGAGCACTTTCCATGGAAATATCCATAGAGCAGTGAGAGGATTGGGACGTTTTGTCTGTAAGAAAGGGGTTGTAGTGTGGAAAATAATTTGTTACCCATAAGGAGGCGGAGATGTTTTTGGAATTTATCGTGTTCCTAATTGTGCTTAATTAAACTAAATACAATCAATACCAATTTAATTGCACAAATTTATTATCGTGTCGAAGATTTTTCAGAACATCAACACTATATTCTAAATTATTTTTACATTAAAATGCTTTTCATTTCTTAAGGTTATTTTCGGCAGTTCCTTTGAAATGAATGAAAATAAGTTCAAACCTTCACATCAACAAAAATATCAACACTTATAAATATTATTATAAATAGATCTTCGGACAGTGATACTTCAATTCTAGGTCTTTACCAAAAAAAGATTTTCTTACATATCTTTCAATTTCACTTTCAAATATTCGGTACATATAGGAGAATGAACCTATAAATTGACTCTGAAAAAAAGCCAATACAACCCCTTCACTGTCGAAACTCCTAAATGTAGCCGTCTCTTCTACTCCAATAGCTTCATGTCTCGCACCTCTCGCCTGGGGAACTCCTTTCGCTATTCCAGTTTCCATGAGAGCTATAATCTCCAGCTATTCAAGTGTAATGTCAATCGACATCTCCAGTTGCCTTGATCTATCCACTATCCTTCTCCTCATCCTTTCCTCTATCACTTCTATCTGATCTTGCTCTAAATCTTCTGTAACCCCTTGCGTCCTAGTGGCTTCCCGCCTTGCTTGGGGTGAAACGCTTAAAAATAAAAAATCTTCTTCCGCCTTATTCAGCTGCCTTGCAGAAAAATCCATCTACGAAAATTCTCTTGTTATATTCAGGCATTGGGAATTCTCTCTAAGAGAATAAAAAAGAAAGACACATTTAAGATTGGCGCTCTTTCAATATGTATGCATTTAACACTCTGAAATGAAACGGAATCAGCGCCAACTCGAAAGGCACGCGATTCCCTTTTTGGTAGGAGGAAAAATCGAACTTTCTTTTTCTTTTCTTCTATTTTCTCCACCCCACCCAAAATTGTATGAAAACTGACGTTATTATTTTTAAATCAAATCTGCAGATGAATATTTCGATAATGCTTCTAAAGAGAACTATATATTTATAGCTAAATATTTTTTTTTAAATACTTTTATTTATTACTTTATTTTATTTAATGTTTGTAGGTAAGATTTTACATACTAATTTTACTATGAAAATCGGGGTGATAATAAAACTGATTTGTAATAAAACTTATAACTAAAACACTTTTTTAGGATGTTAGACTTCTCAAGTCTACTAACAATTATAGCCAATTCTAGTATTTATGGAACTTTCCTTCCAAATCTTTGTTTTTGTTTAGTGTGGAAAGTTAACAGTTTGATTATATCATTATTTTCTCTTGTAGTTTATCTATCAACTTTTTTTTGTTACTGTTATAAGAAATATTCAAGTTATTTGATTTTTACTATTTGGAAAAGCTCTTTGTTATTTTGATGGGTCAGTCTATTTAATTTGATGAAGGATCGTCTTTTAGAAGATTTACAGCATTAACTCGGTTGGAACCATTTTTAACCATTAATCTAAGAACATTGATGTATGGATAGCATCAATCTGAAAGTCTAGATCTTAATAACGAATAGGGTTTTCAATTACGGTGCCGGATAAAATTAAACTTACCTCAGCCAATCTATATTCAACTTCCTTATCTCGGATACTTTGTCATAACTGATCCATAATGCCCGGCTACTCGTTTCTGAGCACACTCGTCAGCTAAAGCGGCTAGGCAACCCTGGCTGAAGTCTCCTGCTCCGGTATATTTGTGCTTATTCAGCACAACCAATTTGTGATTTCTACTGCAACTAGGCTGAGCAGACGTTAGTTGTAGTTTCTTGAACGAAGCGGATATTCGGTTATGAGCAGTAGTTTGCACAACGCCAGTACGTCCAAACACACGGTCATTGTGAGTTTTAACTTCGTCCTAGCACAACTGTCTTTGGATTACTAACAGTACTATCTACCTAATGCCACTCACAGGGATTAGGTCAGTCCGTGTTATGGTTTTCAGGCACTATCCATAGTTGTCGCACGAGAGAATCAGCCAAATCTCCAAACGTGACATCAACCATAATGAGAGTTGGAAAGGGAACGTCATAGCTGCTCCCTGCCCGTGTATTCAATACACATGGGAAACAAATTGATTCACTTTTTTTGATCTCCCATGTTTGCAGTTAAACACGTAATCAGGATTGAGTCCTTATATTTGACAAATCTTTTTTGTATCGGTAATTAAGCACAGATATCCATTCATTTTTTCAGGCCCTGAAGCCACAAAAGAAATCCCAACCGCACTTTATCTAAATAGAAAGAATTATAGAATTCCTTCATTTCTGAGGCTTGATAAATTGACTCATTTTTAAAAATCATTTCACCCCAAGCAAGGCAATAAAGCTATTAAGACGCAAAGTATTTCTGAGTGTGAGAGAATATGAGAAAAACTATTAAAGAAAATGAACAAGAGAACAAGAATGAGGAAGACAGAAAGTAACGATTGACATTGCATTTACATTTTTGAAGATCAAAGTCGATTGGGAAGCAAGAAGCCGAAAGAGAGTTCCACAAACGAGAAGTGCGAGAGAAGAAACTTACATTTACATTTAACCATTTCAAATGTAAAAGTGATCTTGCTCCTAGTCTAGTACTACGCTTAAATTTATAAATTCTAGTTAACACAGAGGAAAGTTTAGCAGAACAAATGCCATGAAAATATTTATAGTAAAGGTATAGAGAATTCACATTGCGGCTGTGTGAAAGTGACTGAAGGCAAGATGCCAGATCAGGACCAATAACATTGCGGATTCTTCTTTGGATGATATCAAGAATTTCTAAATATATCGCAGAAACACCAGACCTGATGTAGCAACAATATCCAGAGTAAGGCCGAATGGTAGACCTATAAATATGTAAGATAGATTCTGTCGAGAAAAATTTCTAGCATAACAGAGTAAACCAATTTTCTTAGCTGCAGATTTCGCAATAAATTCAATATACTCTACTCCATATCAGCTGAAAACATTAGTCCGATAAGGCGAATTGTTTCACTTTCCTGGAGGTTAGAATCAGCCATTTGTTTTTGTTTTTGTTTTTTTACAGCCTATCAAAGCTTTGCGGGTTATTTAAAAACATAAATTCTTTTTTAGATTGTAACATTTTATTTTAGGTGATAATGACATCACTGATGGAATTCCGACTAATTAACACATATCTGGGGAAGGAGAAATGGATTCGTACATTTCCCAATCGTATTATCCAAGTTCGCTATCTGAACATCCGAGATTGCAGTATTTAGTATTCCCAAGCAGTCACCAATCTAGGTACTCCCAAGCAGTCACACATCAAGGTACTGACCAGGCTCGGCGTTGCTTAACTTCAGTGATCGTACGAGAACCGGTGTTTCAGCGTGATTTGACCGTAAGCTTGATAATTATTGACAGAAATCTCGTTGGAATAACTCACAGACACGCATCAAAAATGTTTCCGGAGTCAACAAGTATCGTAAAATACTTGGACAGAGAAAGGGTTCATATTTTAATACGAAATAACAAAATTTTAAATCAAGTATTTTAAGATCTCATTGACTGATCGTCTTCCGGTCGATTTTAATTTTAATTTTTCTCCCAATTGTAATAAAAAAATATATGTTTTTAACGGAAATCTTACAAAAAAAATGTTAAAATATTTTTTTAAATGATGATATTAGATTTTTTTGTAAAAACAACGACTTTTGGAACATTTTTCTGAACTGTTAAAGTATTTAATGATCATAACATAACAACTAAACCGAAAAAACTGACTTAAGTAAATTATACTTAGCCAAGCCAAAATATCAAATCTAAAACAAAAAAAGGCGTGTGGCGGGCAAAACTTACTTTAACACTACCAACTGTAAAAACATTATGGCAGCCGATAAAAAACGAAAAACATTTTTAGCGCTAACTTTTACCTCGAAGCAATGATACATCTAAAAATATATACAGTTTAAATAGTCTTTTAGTGGGAGTAAAGCTCTAATTGAGCTTAGTCATCTCCATATTACCGTATTCGGCGATTCTTCTGGAATAATCTTCCCCAATCAAAGACAATCAATACAGTGGCTAGGCGTCGATAATCTGTAACCGAAATCTAACGACGATTATAGGCGACAAATTATTTGGCTTTTCTCGCATGCGCAGTCGAGAGTAAAGCCTTTCGTGGGAAACAAATAAAATGGCTGGACTGCCACATTAAACACCAAGATAATCGCTTTTCTGAAAGCTACCGAATGCCGCAGGGTTTCGAGGTAAAAATCTATGGCAATTCTGTGATTAGTAAGGAAAAGCTCACGATACGCAAACGATACCATTGCCTGATTTACAACAAGTACGGTAGACTGAAATTGAAATATGTTCTCTAAAATTATGTTCCTGCATTTATTTGTTCCTAAAATAATTTTTTTACAGTTATATTTATACTCAAAGCAGATGGTATCGTTTTCGACGAAAAGTGTTGTGTTTATAGCATAGTTATTCAATCACAAATTTTGTTGATTTTTTAAAACATTGTCTCTTAGTCGCTTGTATTTAAAAAAATCTATAAATAAAAATGGAGAAATTGAATTTCTTATGATGTCATCTGTGAATAAAATCTTGGATGAAAGTTATTTCATTTAAAAGTTCTGCTCAAAATATTCCCCTTTACTTCCAGATTTTTCGCATGGTAGATCATAATCTTAAAGATCAAGTCCAGGAAATAAGCGATTTAAAAAAATAATATTAAAACCTTTTAAATAGTTTATTGCCTCCGGAAGGAATTAGCTTTTCAGTGTGGTTATAAGTAACATTCTTACACGTTCATAAAATTACGTTCATTTACCTGGATCCTATTTCATGAGCATTGGTGGGAATTCAATAAGAGTAGATAGTTTTTTTTTCGTCTGGATCACAAAGCATTCCCAATTTTTGAACAGGATTAGAAGTTTATCCCTGGTTTTCTGTTTAGGATTGGGTTTCCTGTTCCTTCTTAAAACTGTTTTCATTTTCTCTGACTATCAGTATATCCTTGAGTCTTAGTGGCATCATCGCCTTACTAGGTGTGAAATAATAAAAATATATAATATTTTCGTCATAATGGTTTGTTAGTTTGTTAATTACTTTATTTATTTGGTTTCATTGATTTTCTTTTTTTTAAATTTATTCTATTTCGCCTATCCTAACTGGTGTGGTTCGGTAATTTGTTTGGGTTAATTTATTTTGCTTATTTTATTGTCATTTTGTTTATTTTTTTAATTTATTTTATTTTATTTTTTTCAGTTTTCGATTTTTAAGTAACGTTGTAAAAATTTGTTTTCATGTCTGCATTTTGAGATGAGTTCGGATCGTTTATTTAATAATTTATTTTGGTCTGGGAAGGTAATGATAGCTATTTTTCCTCCAAGCAAAGTTTGCAAGTTTTTGATTGGTTGTTGTAGGCTTATGATATTTTCCTTATTTTCGAAGGTATTTTTAGTGTGATGTGCATTTTGTTTTTAATTTCCCAGATGTACTTAGAAAAAATTGTGCTGTTCACATATTTACTATTTGTGAAAGAGGTTTTGTGTGCATAATTTCTTTGTTTCCAGGGTTCTTCATTTACTCCTATGTATATTTTTTCTTCATTATCTAGTGATTTTATCGTGGCTTGGTATATTACGTTGTTTTGTAAACAAGTACCGTTTAAGGGACATGCGTTCTTTATTCTGCAGTTGCACATGGGTTTAATTTGTTCGTTGTGGTTTTTTATTATTTGTGTCATGTTCTCGGTGCAACTGTAGCTGATTTTTACTGTGTTTTTGTTGAATATTTTGTGTAGGGTGCTTGATTCCGGGAAGTGTTTGTGTAAGAGTTTGAAGAAATTTGATGTAATTGAAAGAATGACTTCAAAAATATCTGAAAATAACCTATTCCCATAACATTCTACGCAAATTCTGCGGTGAGTTGCTGAAGCAAGATTTTCTAGAACTTTCTAGAGGTTTCAACAACTTTTGAGAAAGTTCTAAATGTTTCAAGAATGTCTAGAACGTTCTGGCAGCAAGGATAGCAGTATAAATGCATGGAACGTAAGCTCAACAGATCAGATTACTTCTTGCTATCCAAGTGCAGTTAAGTAGTCGTTTTTTGTCTTTGATCAGTTAATGTTATTACCTAATCGCATCAGCCTAAAAGGCAAATGAAATGAGACTTCAACCATTGATTTTGTGGCCTATGCATCATTGTTCTGAAACTGACCTATTTCATACTACTTTCCAGACAGATTTAGTTGCTGAAGGAGAATTATCTAGAAGTTTCAAGAACTTTTAAGAGGTTTCTAAAAGTTTCAAGTATGTTTAGAACTTTCTTGCAACAGAGCAGTATTAATACAGAGAAATTGAGCTCAATAATTGAGTTCACTTCTATCTGTCCAAGTGCAGTGAAGTCGTCGTTGATAGATGCATTCGTCATAGATGGCATCAAGAAGTTGTAAGCAGGCGGCAGACTCATTTTGCTATGTTTGTGGTGAATTTATCATGACAAGAGCGATTAGGTATTCTGAGGCAACATCTGCTACAATGTGTGAGGCCCACAAGGCATACTTCGGCATGACTGTCGGAGACCAAGACAAATTCTGGCTAGCACATTTCACATGCGAACTTTGCAAAGGGAAGATACAAAGTTTTGCTTGTTTGGATAATGGAATTTTTAAGTGCAAAAATTTTGGAATTTTTGTAATTTAAATATTTTTTACTTTTATTTTTTAAACCAGTGTTATTGAAAAATATGTATTAAATATATGTCTATATTTCTGAGATGAGATATTGTAATTATTTACATTGTTTACACTGTTCGGACTGTTGTTCTCATCTTTATTGCAATATTCACGGTGTTTGACCCAAAGAGTTCAATACCTGACTACTGCAGTGGTGAACAAAACCAATGAGAGTTGAGTTTAATGGAGATAACTGAGACATCTGGAAGAGGCATGGCACGTGGAACTAGAACACTCTACCCCGTTGGACAAAATAAAGGGGTCAGTTAGAAATACCAATCAGCTTAAAGGCCGGAGCCTACAAAGGACGAAACCTCATGAATATGGCAATAAGAGTGAGGACAACAGTTCGAAATATGTAAATTATTTATTAAATATGTTTCAACAATCGACCATTATTGTCCACAGTATCGTGTATATTTTCTATACCAGAATACTAGCAAGAGAGGTAAAGAATATCTGTATTTTTGTGGCATTTGCTGTATTAATTGGGGTCCAAAGTCAAAAATTACCTAGCGCAAGACTTTTCGAAATTTCAAAAATCAAAAATTTAATTTTTCAGATACTTAATAACGCTGGATAAAATATATTTGTATTTTTAAACACACATTATTATTTTGCCTTTTTCAGAATGATACAGAGGGAAAGATAGAGCCAGAAAATTCAGAAATTCCACCAATTTGAGGGAAACAACTGACTACTCAAGCAATTACATCTTCTGCAAGGTACAAGCTTCCAAACTTCGAGTTGACAAGAATTCGTCTGCTACCAATATATATATATATATATATATATATATATATATATATATATATATATATATATATATATATATACTTCGTCCGCGCTTTCCCAAAGATAGAACAGACGCCTTCAGAAGAGAACAGCAATTCAGAAGATGATGCAGTCTTTAATCCAGATTACAGAGGAGCAGCAGAGCAGGGAAACCCATGTTACCCTAAACCAAAAAGACCTCAATGACCTGATCAGTGATCTTGATCTCACAAAGTCCAATGCTGAGCTTTTGACATCGAGACTCAACTAGTGGTATTTGTTAGATGAAAGAGTGCAAGTCAGAAGTCAGAGAAAGTGTCACCGGTGTTTTTTTTTTTTTTTAAGATTTTTCACCTGTGAAGATAGGCTTTGCCTCTGCCACAATGTACCCTTCTGACTGAGGCAACAGTAACCGCTTTTAAACCCGGCGAGTGGTGCCTCTACTTCGCAGCTCATCCAGGGCCCTCAAAGCCGTGCTGTCCATAACCAGGACATGTATCCATCACTTCCCTTAGGTGCAGGTCAAAGAGGAATACAGCAGTGTCAAGATCTTGCTAGATGCCTTGAAATATGAAGAGTACGGTTGGTAGGTTAATAGTGGCCATCCTGGTGAATCTCTAAGACAGCTTTACAGTGTTCCCGTAGCATGTTACCATGGAGGCGTACTCAGAGGAGCAAGGCGCGTGCTTCCACCAGGATATACTAGACTATGTATGCCGCTAGCAAAGATCGTATAACGAAAACATAATCGAAGACACTATTTGGGGGATAATTCGTGAAAATATTTTACAGTATGTATAAATCTCAAAAAGCTACTCACTTCTAAATTGTTTTGGTCTCTCTCGTGTAATCTTAGAATAAAGATGTGCTAATTTTGAAACA